TGTATAATTTTTTTATACATAATTATAATTTAGTAGATAAGTTGAAAACACGCAATAATATGTAAAAAAATCATTGTAAGAATTATATAATAAAAATATTGCTTTAAATTGTTTACTTATTTTACATTAAAAAAATATAAAAATAATATTGAAATCNTTTAAATGCACCATTTTATGAATGATTGCTAAAAGCTGCAGATCTTGCTCGGTTTCTGCCGACAATCTGATGTCAAGTCATATTAGCAGATTCTGCTCGGTTTCTGCTATCAATCTGCTATCAGATTCTGTGAGCAGGCTTTGCTAGCAGATCGTAAGCCTAATGCGGACACAACAGATGCCAATTTGGTCGCAACTTTTGAGTATATCTGTTGCCAATCTGCTGACATATTGCGCGCATTTTGCTTACTGGGAATATTTGCATCACGGCATGACACATTTATATTCTCTTTTTTTTTCTGTTTTTCTGTCAAAAAATGTAGCAGATTTGAAGCATAACGTGCTATTGTCATTTCATTCTTTATTTATTTCTATATTTTTGCTGTGTTGGTTTTTTTATATCGTGTTCACATAATTCACTCACTATGATGACACAGCTGAGTGGAATCTGCTGCAAAGTGCTGATTAAACCTGCGTGGCATACTGCTATCATTTGGCTATCGGGGTAGATAGATTTTTCAATTTTAAGTTAGTAGAAAACATTCTCTTCAAAAACACTAAAAATGGGTTTTTTAACTAAAAAATTGACAACTTTCTCAAGTTTGAATATTTTTTTAAAATTTTTGTGGGATCTTTTTCTTGAAATGAAAAACACTCCTGAGAAAAATGGAAAATCATGTGATCATATAGGATTATATGTGGATTGGATGTAATTTTGTATGATTGTTGAAACTTTTATACAACTCGAATATGATTTTATATAAATAATATTAAAGGCTCGTGAAAGTTTCAATGAAAATATAAGGCCGATACGAGCCGTTCACAGGATGTTGAGCGGAACTTGTACGTGTGTATACATATATATGTAAACACCTATGACAAGTTCACTTGTAAATTTTTACAAGTGAGTTTTTTGAATTTAAGAATTGAATTTTCAATTCAAAAAACTCACTTGTAAAAATTTACAAGTGAAATTTAAGAATTGAATTTTCAATTAAAAAAACTCACTNTACAAGTGAAATTTAAGAATTGAATTTTCAATTAAAAAAACTCACTTGTAAAAATTTACAAGTGAACTTGTCATAGGTGTTTACATATATATGTAAACACCTACAAAAAACTCACTTGTAAAAATTTACAAGTGAAATTTAAGAATTGAATTTTCAATTAAAAAAACTCACTTGTAAAAATTTACAAGTGAACTTGTCATAGGTGTTTACATATATATGTATACACGTACAAGTTCCGCTCAACATCCTGTGAACGGCTCGTATCGGCCTTATATTTTCATTGATTTTATATAAGTTGGATATGATTTTATGCAATCGTGTAAAATCAGATCCGAAATTTGGCGCGATCTAATTTTGTATAATCATATATAAATATAAGAAACCGTATACTATCGTACATAATTTTATATATTTATATAAAATCATATCCAACTTATATAAAATCATATTTGAGTTATATAAAAGTTTCTACGATGATACAAAATTACATCCAATTTACATATAATCCTATATGATCACATGAATTTCCATGTTTTCTCGAGCTTTCAAACAAAAAATTAGCTCTATAGTGGGTTTTTCCTACTATAAAAAGTATATTTATTTTGCACCATAAAGTGAACAATTTTTTATGCAAAATCGAAAAACGTAGGTTACATGATAAATGAACATTATTTTCTTTATTTAACAGTCATAATCCATTATAAATGTTGCAATTACTTGTTAAAAGTATAAAAATATAAACACATAAAGATCAATATATTTTTTAATAGTCAGAATTGAATTAGATTTTTAATCTGTACGAGCACAATCAGTGCAAAGCGCTGCACGGTGGTCATCGCACATATAATGCCGGCATAAAAGGCACATCGTTCTTGTTTTTTATCTTAAAAAAAAGTTTTTTTATCTACATGTAAGCCCAAATTTTTGAGAGAAAAATGAACAAAAATTTGATATACGAAAAATGAAAATTTCATAAGAAAAACATACATACTCTACACATGGGATAACTCCTAACCCAAAATTTCGAACTATAACTTCTCTTGAATCAGGAGCAGACTGACGCTCCGTGAGTACGCCTAAGTGTTCCAACAAAAAGAGACACATTTCGACAACCGATAAATGGCGCCACAAGTATGATTTTAAACGATTTACGTAGCTTAATCTTTGTGCAAAAAGTGCCTGGGGTAAATTCTACCCCAGGTATAGGTTAAGGGTTAATTTGGATCTAGTTAAATCTATTTTTATATTTTTTTATCTCGTCAAATTTAAATTAGATCTAATTCATTTTTTCCCGAGCAAGACGCTTGGTTGTCCGTTATCCCGCGCATTGACCAGTCAATCCTAGGACCGCCTGTTCTTCGGGCTTTGACCTAACATGTGCATTTACTTAGTTCTTATGTATATAATATACCTAATTGTAAGTAAATACGTAAATAATTAGTTTAGGTTGTTTATTCTTTTACTTAACATGTTCAAATGTATATAAAAATGTCTTTGAGATTGTATTAAAATAATACACATACCGAAATCTTAGCAGCTTGCCAAGCGACATCATTCTTCTTCACGTTTGCCTGTTTTAGTAAATTGTCAGATATTTTTGAATAATTCTTGCACCGATTAGGTCCTTTCACTATAATGTGCATACAACTATCATACGTGTCATTAAGAATATGTGGCACTTTTAACGAGATTGTAGAATTAAATTCATTCGGTACGTCGTGCAAAACGTCATCGAACGTTGCGGTTGACGGTGTCTGTACATTTACGTAATTGTACGGACTGGTCTCGTTTGTGATTGTCATAGATCGAATATAAATTCGATACAATGTTGACGGATATAAATGTAAACGTTTGGTATAATTACGCATATATTCTTTCACTGGATATTCGTATTTGTTTATCGCGGTTGATTGAGAAATGCGCTGTTTCAGATATGAAGTACTTTCTTCTACATTGATGAGAAAACATTGTAGGTGACGATTTGTCTTCCAAGGATGATACCATAGTAAATCGATTATGCTGTTATCGTGTAATGTATAAATAACAGGTGCAGGTTTGTCTGGCTCTGCAAGACATTTTCAATATACAGGGTGTCTGACAACAAACAAACAAGCCGACGTGTGTAGATAGATCGGGTCATTCTGAACAGAAACATTATTTACCATTTTGCAAAATTTGCAATAGTTAGTGAGATATGAATTAATAAATGTGAACTAATAAGCGCGCGGGGGACAATGATCGGACTTTATAGGCGTGCTATTATCAGCTCTACGCTTTACTTCTCGCTCGCCGCTGCTTGCTGCGTACCGCCGAATATCGCCTACTCGCAAGAAGGTAAGTCGCGCCGCGCTTGTTTGTTTTTTCGCCTCTCGTTGCTAAGACATTGCATGAGAAAAATCATTTTTCTTTACAGCTGAGAATCGTGCACGTCTATAGAGTCCGATTATTGCCTCCCGCGCTCTTATTTGCACACTCTTAGTAATTCATATCTCACTAACTATTGCGAATTTTGCAAAATGATAAATAATTTTTCTGTTCAGGATGACCCGATCTACATACACACGTCGGCTTGTTCGTTCGTTGTCAGACACCCTGTATAATCTTCATCACAAACTTCATGACTTTTGTTAAACCAATCTTCAAGTTATTTGCTTATTTGTATCTTAACATTACGAAAAATAAGAGCAACATATATAGTATGCTAAATTAAATATCGATAGTAAAAATCGATAAAAAAGTTTCTTGTAAAAGTTATTGCTGCACTAGAAGTTCACAAAAGTGGAAAAATATTATAAGAGTGTAAAATGTAAGTATAGAAAAATTTCCAAAGAGTACGTTACACATAGATATTGTGTTTAGAATCTTAAGTAGAATACAGTTTATAATAAATAAAACTGAAAAAACTGAAAATGTTTTACGTATAAAGTTTAAAAGGTTGTCAATACATGTCATGTATTTTAATTCTTACTTTACTTACTTGTAGTAGTAAACATTTCCTGAGATACGCCAACCGGTAGACTTAAAGCTGTATGATTTTTATGTATCTCAAAAATCTGTAACATTTTATTTTAACTTGTGTATTATTCTATATATACATGTTGTATGAATATATACAGTTTTTTGTTACTTATATATATCTATACAGCACAGAAACTTGCAGTTACATTGCAGGAATATCGCAATATTGCAGATTGCGCGGTAATATTTCTGTGACATTATAGGTATTAGGTAACATATAATACATATTTCGACGTAAAATAATAGCAAAATTGTTAAAATCTTGCACAAACATTGCAAAACACTGCACATAACTTATTATAGTCGCGTTTACAAGACATGACAGTCATTAACTTTTGAGAAATTAATTAATTCATCAGATATAGAAATATGTATCATAAGTTTTATATTTATTTCAATAATTTCGGTATCGCAATGTTTGCATTGAATGCATTTGTCGCCATTATCGCGCATACGCGGAAAAGAATCTTACCTGATTACGTTGACTATACTAACAAGGGGAGTACCAGAAGTGGTTATTGTGAAATTCGATGCCAATTGTTTTGGTGATTCTATAGGTCAAAAAAGTTGTTCCATGTTCAGCCGTTTGTTCCAATGGGCCTTAGTTTTCAAGTTTTTAATTTTGAAAAAACACGGCTTTCTTAGGTGCACCGGAAAAGTCGTTCTGTTAAGTCTGTTTGCAAGCGGCTTCGAGCCGTGGCTCACAGCCGATTTCTTCATACCTTTCGATAGCTATCCTCTGGATAAATTCCTCTGAGAACCAATAAGGAGAACCAATTTTGGGAGATATCTTCTAGATAAAGTTATCGAAAACTTATCTAGAAGTGAAAAAATTGGCTGTCAGTGAGTTAGGTGCTTGCATTGTAATGGCTAGTCTACAATGGGAGTAGACAGTATAGAGTAAGAAGTAAGGTTCTTGGAGTTCTTTTATTTTTGTCTATACAAGTAATTATTTTGCGGTTTTTAACACACGTCTTTCATTGGCTAACAGTAAAACAGTAGGTAGTGCGAAATGGGAATTGCCCATTTCATAATTCCCGTTGTTTCTTCACCGAAAAATAGTTTACTCTCTACTCCTACAGCCTTACAACCTTCATTGTAGACTAGCCATAACTCGAGGCATGCGGGTTTGAGTCCTGCAATCAATAACTTTTTTTTTTGTTCTTGTTGAATGTATGTTACATTGTGTTATATATGTTTTTGCATTTTATTTAATGTGTATTTAAAATTATATGTAAGAAATATATAATATAAAGTTTTGAATATATCGGAGAAGAACAAGACAAATTAAAATCTTATTGCAAATGTTGTTGCAGAAAGTTATTTATTCAGTATTTGATTTATTTGACGTACATTGTTGAGGGTGATACATATCATAAAAACACGGAAAACTGAAATTTTCTGCAATTAGAACATTGTATAAACGTCGCTATGCCACATGAACATTTATTTTTCCGAATGTCTAGTGGAAAACAAATTTGATTTACATTAGAAAATACAGGTCTTTCCAAAGTCAATTTTGAAGCGTGCAAATCGAATCATGTTATTGAAAAAATTTGATGACAATTGTGAATGTATCAACGAATGAATCTTGATCGCGTCTTCTCGGGTTGACAGTTGACGGTTTTGTTGCAAAACATGTGTGCAATCCTGTATTCGTTTTACGAAATTTTTTATTTGTCGGAAAAAGTACACGTCGGAAAGACCTGTATTTTCTAATGTACATCAGATTTGTTTTCCACCAGACATTCGGAAAAATAAATGTTCATGTGGCATGGCGTCGTTTATACAATGTTCCAATTGCAGAAAATTTCATTGTTTTCCGTGTTTTTATGATATGTATCACCCTCAACACTGTACGTCAAATAAATCAAATACTGAATAAATAAGTTTCTGTAACAACATTTGTAATAAGATTTTAATTTGTCTTGTTCCTCTCCGATATATTCAAAACTTTCTATCATATATTTCTTACATATAATTTTAAATACACATTAAATAAAATGCAAAAAATATATAACAATGTAAAATACATTAAAAAAAAAAGTTACTGATTGCAGGATTCGAACACCTGCATGCCTCAAGTTACGATACAAGCACCTAACCCACTAAGCCACTCGAAGCCACTTGCAAATAAACTTAACGGAACGACTTTTCCGGTGCACCTAAGAAAGCCGTGTTTTTTCAAAATTAAAAACTTGAAAACTAAGGCCCATTGGAACAAACGGCTGAACACGGAACAACTTTTTTGATCTATAGAATCACCAAAAAATTGGCATCGAATTTTACAATAACCACTTCTGGTGCTCCCCTTATAAGTGTGCTGAGTTAGTTTTACTGGGCTCTGTTTTTAGTTTATTTTTTGTTGATTACATTAAGATATATTATATAGATATTGTACAAGGCAAATGTAGATATTACAATAAGGCAAGGCATAATTGGAAGAAAAGGACAAAAAAACTAAGTATATACCCAGCAAACATTTCGGTCACAGAACCATATCCATCTGTGTCCTCAGTAGGATATGGTTTGTTAATCATGTCTGTCAACATGTGAAATGTCAAAATGCGACCAAAATAATGACAGAGTCTGCCACAAGCAAAGCGAGGCCAAATTATCGCCAAAGTG